ATATATACTCATATAGTGTCGCTTTAAGAGCATTTTAATGTAAAAAAAGTCTCTTACGACTACAATTTTAATTACCTCGTCTCTTAAGCTGTTTTTGATTGTCATCGAAATGTCAAAGCAATTAATTTATGCGGAAGTACATTAAATTTAATTGTTTTTTAAAAAATTTTTAAAAAACCGCAATTATAACGACTAGAAAGTTTTTTTTAATTAGTGGTGTTTTTGTTATTGATTTAATAAAAAACATTTTTTAAACATGCGTAAATGTTGCTACATCGACTATCTTATAGCCTGACTCGCAACGGAGTGCTGCTACATCGACTGACAAATAGCTTGACTCGCAACGGAGTGCTGCTACATCGACTGACAAATAGCCTGACTCGCAACGGAGTGCTGCTACATCGACTGACAAATAGCCTGACTCGCAAGGGAATGCTGCTACATCGACTGACAAATAGCCTGACTCGCAAGGGAGTGCTGCTACAACGACTGACAAATAGCCTGACTCGCAAGAGAGTGCTGCTACATCGACTGACAAATAGCCTGACTCGCAAGGGAATGCTGCTACATCGACTGACAAATAGCCTGACTCGCAAGGGAGTGCTGCTACAACGACTGACAATTAGCCTGACTCGCAAGAGAGTGCTGCTACATCGACTGAGGGTTTGGTTTGGCCAGGCAGTCTATCAATTAAAAAAAAAAATTTAATTTTTAAATTTTTAAAACTTTTTCTGGTCTGGTTTATTAACGCGCTCTTTAAAACTACAGTTTATGGGAAATTTTTTTTGATGCCACGCAAGAGACATGCAAGAGTATATATATATATATATATATATATATATATATATATATATATATATATATATATATATATATATATATATATATATATATATATATATATATATATATATATATATATATATATATATATATATATATTATATATATATATATACATATATATATATATATATATATATATATATATATATATATATATATATATATATATATATATATATATATATATTAGGATATATATATATATATATATATATATATATATATATATATATATATATATATATATATATATATATATATATATATATATATATATATATATATATATATATATATATATATATATATATATATATATATATATATATTAGGATATATAAATACATATATATATATATATATATATATATATATATATATATATATATATATATATATATATATATATATATATATATATATATATATATATATATACATATATTATACATTATATTATATATACATATATATTATACAGCCTACAAAATTTAAAGGACTTCAGGTTGGCACAAGAGTACCATACTAAACCAACATCAGGTCGGCAAAAAACTTATTTGGATTTTTTGCTTTCTGTTACGAAAGAGGCAATGATTAACTGATTATAAAAGAATTGCTTTATAATAGCATAGCTTTAGACAAAAATATTTTAATGAGTGAAACAATTAAACTTTATGTATGTATATGGCAAATATATGAATTAGTGATTTTTTAGTTTCAAAGTTATTTTTTTTTAACACAAAAAAAATCATTGTTTATTTAATACACTTCTATTGGTTTTTTAGATAGAAAAAATGTCGTTTAGAAATACAAATTTAACTTATGTGCTGTAGGCAAAGATTGTTAACAACAAATTTTTTTAAAAAATGAGTAGACAGTTTAAACCTGTTACATTCAGTTGTTCTGGGAATAAGAATTTACTTCTACAGTAGTTGTTTACTATTTTTTAATGAAAAAATACCCTTTGAAATTGTAGCATAGTATGAACTAGTAATGTGAATAAACAATCTGACCCTTAAAAAAAATGGCGAGAACAACAGACATTTTAAAAGTAAATTTTATTATTAATAAATAACCTTGCTATACTTAAATAAATATGAAAAAAAAAAAATTAATTAAATTTTTTTTTTTTTTTTTTAAAACTAGTAAAACTTTAAAAAAACTAGTAATTACAATAATAAAACTATGAGCTTATAATGAAAGAATATCATTTTTTTAAATCTAAATTTTTGCATCATATTTTTTTTCATATTTATTTTTTTGCATGCCGACACTTCAAGAGATTCAGTTCGGCAGTTGTATGCCATCATAAAGCAAAGAAAAGTTAGCTTTTGCATCGGCGTTGTCAAATGTTGACATGAATTTCTCAGACTGTATATATATATATATATATATATATATATATATATATATATATATATATATATATATATATATATATATATATATATATATATATATATATATATATCGATAAATATATATATATATATATATATATATATATATATATATATATATATATATATATATATATATATATATATATATATATATATATATATATATATATATAAAATAAATATAGAGACCTATAAAAAAGCAATAAATTATAAATAAATAAAAACTAACTTAATAGCAAAAAAAGAATTAGGAGCATGAGCGTCATGTGCAACTCTGTTATTAATCTGCCATTGTCTTAAGCCACCATCACCACCAATTGAAATGCAGCCACCACCTTAAAATTATTTACTTTGTTTAAACAATAAGTAAACACATAACAATGTTACTATAACTGTGCTATTAAATTAACTATGTTAAATACTTATGAAAATTATTCAAAACAAAAACATTAAAACACCTAATGCTCCTAAAGGTAACTCAACTGCACGCAGAGCCTCTCCTGAGTATTTGAATTGACTGAGAGTTGGATTTACTCTATAATAGAAATGTATTTACTGCACAACTTTATCTTAATACCACAAATATAAAATACATATAAATAAAAATTGATACCACTAATATTTTGGCTCTATGCTCAAAATTTAAGAATATAAAACAATTATAAAATATAAAAAAATATAAAAGAACAATTTAAAATTTATTTGGTTCAGCTTTTGATAAACATCGAAACCTGATCATACCAAATAAATCTTAAATTGTTCTTTTTTTGGAGGTTAAAAAATTTTTAATTTGATGCTACCACTATTGCTGTCAAATGAACTGGATTAAAGACAAAAAACTTGCACAGGATTAAAATTTACTGGATTAAAGATAAAAAAAACGTACACAGGATTAAAATTTAATCAATTGAAACTTAACATTTAACTTAACACTTACACAGGAGCAAAATTTATTGGATCATCAATGTGCATATTCTGAATATTTTGACAAACTAAATCTTTGCCACTAATAACATAAAAAGTATTAAGTAAAAGTAAAAAAAAACTTAAGGAAATAAAAAATTAAGTGATAAAAAATAAAGACAATAAAAAATAAAATGATAAAAACTCAAAAAGTGAAAAACACTAAAAAAAATAAATAAGTTATAACATATATATGTAATAATAATAAAAAGCAATAAGTATATATAATTATTATAACAATAATTAACAATAAAGTAAATATCAATAAAGTATAATCAAATGTTTTATAAAATTTTTATGTTTTAAATATTAAACAGTTGAAGCAAGTTAAATTTTAAATTTTATTTTTAAATTAAAATTTTCTTGTAATGTCACAACTAAAACTCAGTGTAAAATATTTTATACTTTCTGCTTTATGCCCATACTGCTAACTAATCATTTGTAAATTTGCACACAATCATCACCATCTTCAAGTTGTTGCAACTATTACTAAACTCTGATTTTGACAAACTTTTACAAGCAAGATTATCAAGAATAAGGTGATGACACTTTCTTAAAAGAGACTTGATGTTTTCACTATTTCTCCTGTACCAATAGCTTATCTACTACACCCAAAGATAACAAGTCTTTTTACTTTTCCAAAAACTTCTCTAAAAGAGTTACTTATAAATAAACCATTTAACTTATCTTTAAAATCTATAATTTTTAAATTCTGAAATCTTTATTAAGAGTTTAAAGGGATCCATAAGTGCTAAGACAAGTTGTGCTCATATTAAAATGTTTAAAAAAAAACGTTAGGGCTAAATTTTTTTTGATTAAAACTAAATAACAAATGCATACCATAAAAATTAAAATTGTTGTTTTAGTTGAAGCTCACCATCTTCATTTTTCTCCATTTCCATTTTTTTTCTCCATTCATGTTATGAATTAAAGCGTGTTCAATTAATAACAGTTTTGGTATATGACATCATTTTTTTTTAAGATATTGTATTATTTTTACAATCACTAATGGAGACCACAACCTTATACTAAAATCACAATTTTAATTTTATTGGTATGTATTTATTACTTAGTTTTATTCAAAGAAATTTAGCCGTAACATTTTTTAAAATCATTTTCTTTAATATGAACAAAACTGTCAGCACTCGAGGATCCCTTTAAGCAGATCTATTTCTTAATATAATTTCAATTTCAACTAATCTCTAACCTTTGCAACAACATTACAAACTTCAACAAAATAAATTTATTCCTAAATATTATGCAAAACACTTTTTTTTTTTAAAAACTGTGGAAATCATTGTGATTTATCTTACTACATATTTTAACCAATAATCAGATCTTAAGTTTTAATCAAAAAAATTTTAATGACTGAATGAATGAATGGAATAAATTTGTTGCAACAAAAAAAAAAGACTCAGATTGAAAATTCCATTTTCAAAAACATATACAATAATTTCAAATCATAACATAGATTTTACTTGTTTTTTAGTATATTATATAATAATAAAAAATAAAATTTTAACTTAAAATAAAAAAATAACTCTTTATTTATGGAACTTAAATTTAAAAAAAAAAATCAATTCTACACATATAAAAAAGCAAAAGGTTATACCACTTTTTATCTGCTGAGACATTTATTCCATTAACTAAAGTAGGTTTTGTTGAATATCGAAAAGTAAATTGTCCTCCTTCCACAAGTATATCAATACCTTTAGGGAATAAACATATACATGATTTGGACTTTTTCACTGCAGCAATTGCAGCACTCCATTCAGAGTCTGTTGTTCCCTTCAATTAGAAATAAATACAGCTTTTCTATAAAAATCAACTATTTATTAATAGGTACTTAAACATATAGGCAAGCAGTCAATTCCACAGCCCAACTCAAGGAATTGACGGTCAATATTTTTATTTTTTTTTGACGCTCAAAACTTTTATTTTATTCTTTTTTAAATCTTGGTAATAGTTCTTCTTGAGTAAACTTTATAAATACAAAAATAAGTTAATGCTTAAAGGGTAACGAATTCGTATTATTTTAATAATAACAATTTCAAATAAAATTAATGCTTTTTTTAGAAGCGCAAACAGGCAATTGATAATTTTTAATTTATTTAAAAATAATTCATTTCATTGCAATGACTTTGCAAACAATGGGAAAAGTTACGAGAAAAATAATAGAAAAGATTAAATGAAAAAAAAAGTACAGCTGAAATTATATTCTTAATTACATATAATAATTTTGAACAATAATGAAATAAGAAAGTTCTCTGAAGTTAAAGAAGAAAAATTAGCGCAAATTTTATATCTTTTGCTCATTAAAATCATTTCAAAAACTGTTAATGTTAATTTGTTAATAATAATGTTATCAACTCTTGTTTGCAGATACTATTTAACTGAATATTCATACAAAATAATACAATTACAAAATAATACAAAATACCAACAAGATTTAATGAAATATATATAGTGTTATATATATAATAAAATATATAGTAATGTTTAATGAAACACTTCTATCGAAATTACTTATGTTACATAAAATGAGATTTTTACTAAATCCTATTATAATCCTATTATTAAAAAAAAGCGCAAAGACACAATTAGTAATTTTTAATTTATCTATAAATTATTCATTTATTTGCAATTTTTGACAAAACTTACAAGAAAATAAAAAAAAAGATTTTAAGAAAAAATAAAACAAATTGACTAAATGCAGATGGAAGAAAAAATGTTCATAGTTAAATACTAATTTTTCATATATTACTAATTATTGTTAAAATAATATATGAAACATTTTTTATTAAAATAGAAATAAAATCACAACTTAAATCATTTGAGAAAAAAGGTTTTTCAACATTGTTAAAATAAATTAATTTAAATAAGTGACGCAAAAAACTTAATAAATATAGTTTACAAAGTATTTAATACATTTATTAACTTAGTTCAGGATTGTTCAAACAGAAAAATTACTGATTTCTATTAATATGCAATAAGTAAGTGTATAATACATACCCAGGTTAGGTCAGGATAATCGAGATCAATCTTGCTACTGGTATCACATAACCCAGTACCACCTGCCACAAGCCCTGCTGCCTTGCAGAGTGTGCTCTTCTTATGCAAGATAAGGGGTAAGCAGAAAAATTCTGCTAACTAGCCTCGAACCCCTTCTTCATCTATTAGGCTGGCGTAGATGTAACCTGTGTTACATTGTTTCCTGCCTAGGATGATGAATGCTGGATCTCCTTGACTCTACTCATAGAATTTTGCTTATGCCTCTATGATAATGGCTATGCAACTCTTCCTGTTATCTCCATATGAGGGTACAGCTTTAAAACTCAGTTTAATGGTTCTGAGGCCGGCTGGTAGTAAGGTTTCCCGAACTCTGTGGTAGCTCTCAGAGAGGCTGATTCCATCAACAGCTGCAAAATATCAGAGTATTAACAGTGCCATGTTGCGCATGGATGGTGTCCCTGTTAATGCTTTTGGTGTGCATTGTCAAGGCCACATAAGGAGCCCTATGTCACGGCTTAGGCTTAATTAACAGGACTGAGACAACTGCATAGCTAATTGATTAGGAGGCTGTGCTCTATCTATGAATGAGTCTAGTTCTCATTAAACCCAAATCATGACCAAAGTAACCAAAAATTTAAAACCTAAAAAACCATCCCCACCACCTATATATTTTAATATATCTTTTACAAATACTCGCGGTCTACGAAGCAACTTTCCATCAGTTGAGTCTTACCTCCTGCAAAATTCACCAGACTTGCTTGCACTCAGTGAAACAAATTTAAGTTCTGCAATTCCTTCTTCAGATGTCAGTGTTGATGGGCACTATCCTTTGATTCGTAAAGACTCCAATAGTCACATGCTAGGTTTAGGGGTATACATACGCATTAATTCCCCTATTTGTTGTGAAATCAGGTTCGAATCCTTTGACCATTCTTTTATGTGCTTTCGCCTAGCACCTCTTCACTCTATCACCTTTCTCTTTGTTCTTTATCGTTCTCCTTCTTCCCATGATTGCACTCTTTTAGATGTTATCTCTGATCAAATTGACCATGCCCTCTCTCTTTACCCCTCTGCCAATATTGTTGTTGTTGGTGATTTTAATGCCCATCACACTGAATGGCTTGGCTCTAACACCACTGATCCTGCTGGCACTAAAGCCTTTAACTTCTGCGTTTCTCAATCTCTTACTCAGATAGTTAACTTTGTGACTCGTTTTCCTGACAACCCTAATCATTTACCTTCACTCCTTGACTTATGTCTTGTCTCTGACCCTAGCTTATGTTCAGTTTCTCCCTTTTCTCCCTTAGGTGGTTCTGACCATGCAATGATCTCTATAAATCTTTCTTCTCGAACTTCTTTTTTGGGCTCACCTTATCATCGCACCACCTACTACTACGCTAAAGCTGACTAGGATTCCTTTTTGTGATTTTCTTTGTGATGGTCCTTGGGCTGATGTTTTTTCTCTCTCAGCTGACAAATGCGCCTCCTACATAACCTCCTGGGTTCAGGCTGGAATGGAAGCTTTTATTCCTTCTCATCGGTTTCAAGTCAAGCCTCATTCTACTCCATGGTTTTCTCCTTCTTGTGCGGCTCCTATATCCAATCAGAATCATTTTTTTCATCTTTTTCAAAAGAACAACTCTCTTGAGAACAAACGGCTATTTATTATTGCAAGAAATCGATGTAAAAAGGTGCTTTCTGATGCTAAACTCCATTATTCTCAGTTCACTAAATCTCGCATCTTATCACAGAAGTGAGGCTCTAAAGACTTTTGGAAAATCTTCAACAACATTGTTAACAAGGGTAGATCTAACATTCCATCTCTCATTCATGGGACTGATCTTATTACCTCTCCCAAGGATAAAGCAGAACTATTTGCAAAAAACTTTTCTTCTAATTCCACTCTTGAATCTTATGGACATTCTCTTCCTTCCATTCCAGTCAAACAGGTTGACCCATTGTTAGACATTCAAATCACTCCGGCTTCTGTTGCTAAAGTCATATCTCAATTAAACTCCTCTACAGCTTGTGGTCCAGACAACATTCCTGTCACAGTCTTGCAGAATTGTTCTCCAGAACTTTCTTCAATTCTCTCTAAACTATTTAATAAGTGTTTGACTGAGTCTTGTTTTCCTGCTTGTTTGAAAATGGCATCTGTGGTATATTCAAAATATTCAAAAACTATGGAGAAAATTCTGACCCCTCCAATTATTGTCCGATCAGTCTTCTTTCTGTTATTAGCAAGGTCTTTGAGTCTTTGATCAACAAATTCCTCACATCTCATCTTAAGTCAAATAAACTACTGTCAGACAATCAATACGGTTTTCGATCCTCTCGCTCTACGGCCGACTTGCTAACTGCTGTAACTGAAAGATTTTATCGTGCATTAGATGGAGGTGGTGAGGCTAGGGCTATTGCTCTCGACATATCTAAAGCTTTCGACAAAGTTTGGCATGCTGGTCTTCTCCATAAGCTTGCTTCATATGGTGTTTCTGGGAAAGTTTTTGAGATTATCAAACCATTTCTTTCTAACCGGTTTATTAAAGTCATCCTTGAAGACCAACACTCTTCTTTATTTCCAGTAACTTCTGGGGTTCCCCAAGGTTCCATCCTGGGCCCTGTTTTGTTTCTTATCTACATAAACGATCTTCCTGACAACCTTTCATCTAAAGTAGCTCTTTTTGCTGATGACTCAACTTTATACTCCTGTCTTGACAAAAAGTCTTCTCTTTTCGATCGCCTAGAACAAGCAGCTGATCTTGAATCTGATCTCACTTCAGTAATAGATTGGGGTTCACAGTGGCTTGTGAATTTCAACTCTAAAAAAAACCCAATTGCTTACTGCAAAAAACTACCGTAATATGATCAACATTCCTATATTAATGAATGGCAATCCTCTTACTGAGTCCTCCTACGTCTTCTTGGATTATTGTTTACTACTGACCTTTCATGGAAACCATATATACAATCGATTGCTAAATTAGCTTCTGCTAAGGTTGCTTCTCTTTATCGTGCTCGCCATTTCCTTACTTCTGATTCCATTCTCTTCCTTTACAAATCTCTTATTCGTCCCTGTATGGAATACTGTTGTCATATTTAGGCTGGTTCTTCTAACGATTCACTTTCTCTTCTTGACAAGGTCCAAAAACACATTATAAATGTTGTTGGACCTGGACTATCTGCTAAGCTTGAACCTCTTTCTCATCGTCATAAAGTTGCATCTCTTTCTCTTTTCTACAGATACTATCATGGTCACTGCTCAAAGGAGTTATCATCTCCAGTTCCATCAACTAAAATTCATTCTCGTTTTACTCGTCATTCAGCTAAGTCTCATTCGTTTACTGTATCTGTCCCTGCATGCTCTAAAAACTTTTATTCATCTAGTTTTTTTCCCCGCACTTCAATCCTTTTGAACTCTCTCCCATCTTCATGTTTTCCTGACTCATACAACCTTCAACTTTTTAAGTCTTCTGTCAACCGTTTCCTTGCTCTATAACTCTGTTCTTTTTTTTTCCTAGTAACTCCCAACTTAATAGTGGTTGCTTGCAGCCTTGTTGGGAGTGAATGCAAATAAAAAAAAAATTAATTAGTTCAGAGTTGTTAAAGCAGAAAAATTACTGATTTCTATTAACATGTAGTAAGTAAGTGTATAATACATTCATCATAAAAGTGTATAATAAATTTATCAAGGAAGTGAATTAATAAGTTCAGGGTTGTTAAAGCAGAAAAATTACTGGTTTCCTCTTTTTAATATGCAATAAGTATTAAATAAAAGT